GAGTATTGCCTGAGCGGTGACGTTGACCATTCTTATGGATTCGGGTAATACTTGTTCGAGGCAAATATTAGTTTCATCTGCATACTCGTAAGGGCTGGTGGAATGGCTGCCATAATTTTCCTTCAGCAGTTGTATCCAATGTGTTTCTACTGTGGTGTATTCATTTTTGTTATGTAGATTTCTCAAATTCATAGTGATCTCAGATTTGTATGAGAATAAAGACCATTTACAAACAGATAGAGTGAAATTATTTGATATTCTTTAGTGCTCTATTTTTCTGTACCATCACCATGTAACCACTTTCTACATTGTAAAAAAGATTCTGTGTTTTTCCAGCGTTTATAGTACATTCGATAATTCCTGTCCTTCCCTTGCACCTTGTTATATTCTATGAAATGTTTGCTTCTTTAGAGCAACTTCTAGCATTTTGTGAGCTCAACAATGACATGAATGAGGTTTACTACTTGCTTCTGTCCATAATGTCAATGTTAGAAAAAGTAAACTAGATCCATCCATTTTACCTAGTTCATGTATTACGAAATTAGCTAAGATGCACCTTTGAAAGACATGTTTCCCAGTCAAAGAAGGCTACATTCACTTTTGTGACCAGAATGCAATATAGATAACTGGCCATGGAAACACATATGAGGAACTAAAGTGCCTATCAATGTGACTTGCTTCACATGGTTGTCTCTAAATGGGACCTATCTCACTCAAGACAACTTAATCAAGAGGAACATTACACTAGTTAACAGATGCTACATGTGCCAACAACGGTTAGAAAATGTAAACCATCTATTCCTCCACTGCTCAGTTGCAAAAGAAATCTGGAACTTCTTCTACACTACCTTTGGTCTGAGATGGATTATGCCGCAATCAATAAAGGAAGCTTTTGAAAGTTGGTATTTTTGAGAGTTGGCAAATCCATCAAATAAATGTGGAAAATGGTGCCAGCAGTAAATTTTTGGTGTATCTGGAAAGAAAGGAACCGAAGGTGTTTTGATGATATTTCAACTCTACTCTACTCCCTCAAGGCTGCGTGTTTAGTTAATTTGTTTAGTTAGAACTATCTCACCCCTGTTAACGGTGCTGATATTTTTGTGAATTTTATTAGCTCCATGATAATAGCATAGGCTTTTGTAATGGAGCTACTTATCCTATCTCTTTTGTACTCTTTGCATCTTCTTGATTCCCTTTAATGAATCTAATTTACTTTATCCAAAAAAAATAAAAAATAGCCAAGATGCATGTATGATTTTATCGTTGCGCTCGTGTGTGGTAAGAGGATAGAAATACGATCTATCTTTGTGCTCTTTCAATGCCATGACAAATAGAGACTACCTTTGATGCATTTGTTTTTTCTTCTCACAAACTGCAAGCACAGGATGGACAGGGGCATTTGCATCTATACCCGCTTTTTGTGTCAGATTTTAACTTGTGCCCGATTTGCAAAAAAAAATTGCAAGCGTACCCGCTTTTTCGCATAACTTCAGCATACGGGGCTGAAGTACAAAGGCAATCACGCAAAACTTAAGCATTCTAGTAGCCGGGCCTGAAGTTCAACTCTAGAGCTGAAGTTCTTGTTTTGTAACTTGCGAACTTCAGCTCTAGAGCTGAAGTTTTTGTTTTGTAACTCGCGAACTTCAGCTCTAGAGCTGAAGTTTTTGTTTTTGTGTTTTAGTTTTGTAACTGGCGAACTTCAACTCTAGAGCTGAAGTTTTTGTTTTTGTAACTGGCGAACTTCAGCTCTAGAGCTGAAGTTTTTGTTTTGTAACTGGGGAGCTGAAGTTTTTATTTTTGTAACTGGCGAAGTTTTTGTTTTGTAACTGGCGAACTTCGGCTCTAGAGTTGAAGTTTTAGTTTTGTAACTGGGGAACTTCAGCTCTAGAGCTAAAAAAAAAATTTTGTAACTGGGGAACTTCAGCTCTAGAGCTGAAGTTTTTGTTCTATATTTGATTAACTTCAGCATGTTATAAAGGCACCATGGCTGTGATGCCACGACCCTTGATAGCTGTGAGCAACAAGATGACGATGGCGTTGTTGTGTTTCCGGTAACATAATTACTAGCATGACTCTGCTGTGAATTTATACTGAAACTTGAGATTTAGAGACTACATCACTTGATAGTGTGGGTGTCCAACTGTACCAAATTGAAATATAAATTTCCATTGTCGAGAACCAATTGGTTGTAGACTATTGATAATTAAAGAAAGAAAGGGAAAGTTTGATTCATTGTTCAAACGATATAGCGAGAGACGCCAGTTATTATTATAAAATAACTTTTATTGTCTTTTGATTTGGGATTTTTATTGTTATAATAATCCAAGTGGAAGTCCTCAGTATATATGCTTTAGCTTCATTAATCAAAGAGAGCAATATTGAAGTCATCGTTGTAGAAGAAGAAAGAAGAAAATGAAGGAGGAGAAGGAGGAGGAGAAAGGGGGCTGAAGTTGTATAAAAAGTGGGTACAAGTTAAAAGTTTTTAAAAAAATGGGTATAGGCTAAATGGAGGCGACCAAATAGGGCGCCCCGTGCAATTTTTACAAAACTTTCCCTTTCTTTCTTTAATTATCAATAGTCTACAACCAATTGGTTCTCGACTATGGAAATTTATATTTCAATTTGGTACAGTTGGACACCCACACTATCAAGTGATGTAGTCTCTAAATCTCAAGTTTCAGTATAAATTCACAGTAGAGTCATGCTAGTAATTATGTTACTGGAAACACAACAACGCCATCGTCATCTTGTTGCTCACAACTATCAAGGGTCGTGGCATCACAGCCAAGGTGCCTTTATAACATGCTGAAGTTAATCAAATATAGAACAAAAGAGCTGAAGTACCCAGTTACAAAACTAAAACTTCAGCTCTAGAGCTGAAGTTCGCCAGTTACAAAACAAAAACTTCAGCTCTAGAGCTGAAGTTCGCCAGTTACTAAAACAAAAACTTCAGCTCTAAAGCAGAAGTTCGCCAATTACAAAAATAAAAACTTCAGCTCTAGAGCCGAAGTTCGCGAGTTACAAAATAAAAACTTCAGCTCTAGAGCTGAAGTTCGCGAGTTACAAAACAAAAACTTCAGCTCTAGAGCTGTAGTTCGCAAGTTACAAAACAAAAACTTCAGCTCTAGAGCTGAACTTCAGGCCCGACTACTAGAATGCTGAAGTTTTGCGTGATTGCCTTTGCTACTTCAGCCCCGTATGCTGAAGTTATGTGAAAAAGCGGGTACACTTGCAATTGTTTTTGCAAAGCGAGCACAAGTTAAAATGTGACACAAAAAGCGGGTATAGATGCAAATGCCCCATAATTTTTTAGCCTTATATTAGGTTTGGCAAAGATAGCCCCAAACAATTGGCACTGTATAGCTAAATCTTGTAAAAACTACTCTCTTTTATATTCTCTCTCAAAAAAACTACATGCTTATTTTGGCTTCCCTCCTCCTTTCTCTCGTTGTATTTCTTCTTCTATCTCTTCTCTTTTGCTCTCATAGATTAGAGAAAATTCTTGCAAATTATGCAAAGAAAATAGTGTGATAGAAAAGGTAAGGTTGATCTCACATCAGAGAAAATCTGAAGCAAAAACTAAGAGAGAAAAAATATATTTCAACTTTGTTTTTCTTCTCTTTTATTTTTTTTTTGGTTGGATTGAATGGGTGGGTGTGACTGAAATTTGTTGAAAATACCTAAACGGGGCTTATACAAAATTTGAGCAAGATTAGCAAAAACTAAGAGAGAAAAAAAATATATTTCAACTTTGTTTTCTTCTCTCTTCCTTTTTTTTTGGTTGGATTGAATGAGTGGGTGTGAGTGAAATTGGTTGAAAATACCTAAACGAGGCTATATACAAAACTTGAGCAAGATTAGAAGTGATTTAGACTGGTCTCAGGTAAAAAATCAGACCAAAAATCCAACTACGACATGTGTATATCACGTTGTATATCATGTATATCAGTGTATATCACACACAAGTTTTTAGGACGTTTGTGTATATCACTTTGTATATCGTGTATACAATACAATTTTTTTATGGACGCCCGTGTATATCACATTGTACATCGTATATATAACACAATTTTTCATGGATATACACAGGTACACATAATATACATGAGATATCACCAATGTATATAGAGATATACATGAGTTACAATAGGGGATACACATTTGGAGTCGTCTTGAACTTGAGTTTTCAATATGAAATGTGTTATACAAAGAAGGAAAATAAAATTTTAATAATTATTTTTGATATACACATTATTATTATGTTATACAATGTGATATACAAATAATATAATTATTAATTATTGATCAAAAAAGGAAAATAAATTTTTTATATAGCATGTTTAAGCAAGTTCTGAAATATAAAAATAATAAATATAATTGTGGGAGTAAATAATATTTTGGTATACAAAGAAAATTAAATTTTGATATACACAAAGAAGAAAAATAAATTTATGATATCTATTTTGGTATACACATGTCCGATGTGCTATACACTGTGATATACAAATAATACAATATTTTTATTGTGATATACATTGATACAAAGGAAGCAATAACTATATATATAATTTTATATTATTGATATATAAAGAATAATGTTATTTATATAAAATTTTAATATACATATTGATATAGACAAAGAAGAAAAAAAGAAGTTGTGATATACATATTATTATTGTGATATGCATTTATTGGCTATTTGATGCAAATATCTATAACTAGGGCTATTTTCTGGCAATTATATGGATATGTTGTTATACCATGCCAAAACCCTTTTAAAAAAATTTTAATTTCTGGTGAAGCATAAAGAGAAGGATTAACAGAATATAGAGCATTAAAACCAGGACCAAAGACAAGAAAGGACGTAAGATATGCTTCAGGGAGTTGAAAAAGCACAGATTCAAAGATTCTGCAGATATCAGGTTTAATTTGGATACATTGCGAGAAAATCAAACTTTTATCGAAGAGAAGCAAATGAAACGCTTTCATAAAAATTCTAGTTGAATCGAAAATGATGTTTTTATTATGTACATGCCAGATCATGGATTCAATTTTTTTGGTATCAATAGTAAGCAAGAGTCATCAATAAGAAGAACCTGAGTCAAGTAATCAATTGTGTATTATAATTCCTATGTCTATGGGCAGAAAACAATACTTAAGTAGTTTGCTCTAGGAGCATATAATAATGCCCGATACACTACATTCCATTTGAAAATTAACCACAAAGGAGTTGGTAATTGAAACTTACAACAAGCCATATAGTGTACAAGACATTCCACATCTCATTTACTGGTGATATATCCATTGGGAACCAAGGCAGCTGCATAACACAAATATTTTTTTGAGAAAAACAAAACAAGCAAAAAGAATGAATAAAAATTCTGTGTATGAAACTGAAAAACTTCACCGGCATAAGACAAGAGCTCAGCGGGGAAGCCAATAACTTCAATGAAAGTGCTCAATTTTCTTAGACATTTGGTTTATATGATCATCACATACATGTATAATAAGATGGTAGATTAATGAGATGATATACTGCCCAAAGCTAACAGAGTTTGCTTCAGAAAGAATGAAATATATAATGTGGCAGCAATTTGGAATTATGAGTCACTGAGAAATATGGGGTCGTTTCTTACCAATTGGTTGTTGGTGGCAAAAAGAGGAATTGAAGAGAAGGGGTGGGTTCATTATCATTTCTGTTTCTTCTTTTGGCTCTCTTTTATATTACTCTTGGCCTTTCTGAATCTTAAAGCAAGGATTCCTTGAAAATTGAGTATTACATTTCAACAGCCATCCTCATTTTTGAAAGAATATGGGGCCCTCTCAAATTAATTAAATGTCTTAGGAACATGGGAATGAATGGTTATTGATTCGGGTTGCAACAATCATATGAGTGGAAATAAGAAATTATTTACCGATCTAGATGAAACATTTAGAGGTACAATGAGACTTGGAAATAACGCAAAGGTGCCTGCTGTTGGAAAGGAAAAAATTCGCATTACTGTGAAAGATGGTTATTCTAATTTTATATCAGATGTGTTTTATGTGCCGAGTCTTCATCATAATTTATTGACCTTGGGGCAACTATCAGAAAATGGGTATAATTTGCGTTTTAAGTATAGGATTGGCACAATCAGTGATGATAAATTTGGACTTATTGCAAAGTTTAACATGAACAATAGTCGTTTGTGGCCTCTTTATCTCAATAGTGATGATTTACCTTGCTTTAGTTCTATAAAATGTGATGATACTTGGTTGTGGCATCTACTTCTTGGGCATTTGAATTTTGAGAGTTTGAAATTTCTTGCAAGAAAGAATTTGGTTGATGGTTTGCCTTCTATTGATTTTCCTCACAAGAAGTGCGAGTCGTGTACTTTGGGAAATAAGTACAGAGAACCTTTTCAGAAAGGCAAGGCTTGGAGAGCTAATGCACCATTGCAGTTAATTCATTCAGATTTGTGCTCAGTTGAAGTTTCTTCTAATGGTGGTAGTAAGTATTTTGTTACTTTCATTGATGATTCCAGCCGAAAGACTTAGGTATATTTTTTGAAAAATACATCTGATGCATGTGATATTTTTAAGAGCTTCAAAGTTTATGTGGAGAAGCAAAGTGGGTGTTTTATTAAAATATTGAGGACTGATAGGGCACTAAATTTCTTGTTTGTGATGATTATTTGAAGAAGTATGGTATTAAGCATCAATTGATAGCTAGATATACACCTCAGCAAAATGGTGTGGCTGAAAGAAAAAATAGAATAGTGATGGACATGGTGAGATCTATGATGCATTCCAAAAATATTCCAAAAAATTTTCGGCAGAAGCTATTTCCTGTGCAATTTATATATTAAATAGGTGTCCTACACTGTCTAATTTTGGAGAAACTCCACAAGAGGTCTGGACAGGTAAGAACCAAATTTTTTTATCTAAAAGTATTTGGCTGTCTTGCTTATGCTCATGTTCCTGATGCTTTGAGAAAGAAATTGGATGATAAAGCTGAAAAATATTTTTTTATTGGTTATAGTCATAAGACAAAGGGTTACAAGTTGTTTAATCCAGATACAGGAAAAGTGATTATTAGCAGAGATGTTACTTTTAATGAGAAGAGTTCTTGGGATTGGTCAAAGAAGGATCCTGAACCATCTAGGTCTCAACCAATAATTCCAGTCACAGAGGAACGAAGTTCTAGCAAACATCAAGAGGAACATGTAGTAGATCCTGTTCAAGCAGAGACGTCCAGTCGCCCGCAAAGACAACACCAGTTACTGTTTGCAAGATTATATTGTTGGCGATGATAATGATTTATCCGATGAAGATATTGTAAATTTTGCCTTATTTGCAGATTGTGATCCAGTTACTTTTGAGGAAGCTGTTAAAGATGATTGATGGGTTCATGCAATGAATGAAGAAGTTCACGCTATTGAGAAAAATAATACATGGGAATTGACCACTTTACCGCCCTCAAAAAGACCAATTGGAGTCAAGTGGGTATACAAGACCAAGTTCAAACCAACTGGAGAAGTGGATCATTTTAAGGCGAGATTAGTTGTTAAAAGATACAAGCAGAAGGCAAGTATTGATTACTTCGAGGTATTTGCACCTGTTGTTAGATTTGATATTGTTCGTATGATAATTTCTCTTTCTGCCAATAATTGCTGAAATTTTTTTCAAATGGATGTGTAATCTGCTTTCTTAAATGGTATACTTGAAGAATAAGTGTATGTTGAGCAGCATGTTGGTTATATCAATAGAGGTCAAGAAAATAAAGTTTATAGGCTGAAGAAGGCATTATATGGATTGAAACAAGCACCTAGAGATTGGTACACTCGTATTGATTCTTGTTTCTTGGACATGAATTTCAGAGATGTCCATATGAGCATACTTTATATATCAAATTCAAGCCTGGCGAAGATATTCTCATTGTGTACTTATATGTGGGTGATTTAATTTTTACTAGCAATAATCCTAAATTAATTTTTGAGTTTAGGAGGCAATGATTAGCCGGTTTGAAATGACTGATTGGGGTTTAATGTCTTATTTTCTTGGCATTGAGGTATCTCAATTAGATAATGAAATATTTATCTCTCAGAAAAAATATGTTGGTGATATTCTAAAGAGATTTAATATGGATAAAGCCAAACCAATTTTGACCCCTATTGAAGAAAAAATGAAGTTGGTTAGAGATGGGATTAGTGACTTTGTGCTACATATTTTAGAAAATTCGTAGGGAGTCTAAGGTACTTGACTTCTACAAGGCCTGATATTACTTATGGAGTTGGATTAATTAGCAGATTTATGGAGACTCCACGACAATCCCACTTGCAAGAAGTAGAGAATTTTGAGATATATTCAAGGTACGCAAACTGATGATATGTTTTATTCAAAGACTAATGATAGTAGTCTTGTGGGATTTACAGACAGTGGTTGGGCTGGTGATACATTACAAAGAAAAAGTACTTCTGGCTATGCATTTTATTTAGGTTTTGGTGTATTTTCTTGGTCTTCCAAAAAGCAACAAGTTGTTGCTTTATCAACAGCTGAAGCAGAGTACATGACTGCAACAAGTAGTGCTACACAAGCATTGTGGTTAAGAAGAATGCTTGGATTTCTTCAACACAAGCAAGACAATCCTACAATAATTTTTTGTGATAGCAAGCAAAGAATCCAGTTTTTCATGGGCGTAGCAAACACATTGATATCAAATTTCACTTTATTCGTGACTTGGTTCAAGACAAAAAGATAGTTATTGGGTATTGGAAGACTGGAGAGCAAGTTGCAATATTTTCACAAAGCCACTAAAATTGGAGTTATTCATCAAGTTGAAGAAATGTTGGGCATGATCAAATTTGAAGATCTTGGTTTAAGGAAGGCTGTTGGAAACTAAACCAAGATTAATTAGTATTCCTATGTTGTCTAGGATTTGATATTTGGTAGTTTATTTAATTCATGTCTAGTTAGGTTTTGTTTACCAATATTATATTGGAATAGGTTTTTGGTTTTGTAGTATTATAAATAGGGGTGCTACTACTTATTTTTTCTTGCAGAGAAATTCAAGAGTTTATTAGTTGTGAAAAAGCCTCCTACCAAGTTCTCTCCCTAGTTTAATAAATTTCTTCTATATAGCATTTGCTGAATTTTTTGCTTGTGCCTAAATTGTTCCTCGGGTATTTCAATCCTTCAATTATCATTCTAAGCTTCAGTCGAAACCAGTTTTTAAATCTTAAAGATATATATCACCACTGCCAAACGCAGAAAGAGGAAAAAGAACATTATTTATTATCCCAATACTTCATGTAAATTGGTGTCAATTTTTCTATTAAGAAAACGGTTGTCGATTTTCTTTCAGTTGGAGTGATTCTATATAAGAATATCTTTCAAGTGTACAGCATGCAGATGATGAGTGATACTATGCAAGGGGGGCTAGTGGAATGAAACAAAATTGTAAGATTTAGTAAAGGCTAGTAGAGTGAAGGGATTGTTGCAGCAACGCCACGTCGGTGTTAATTGGATTCAATCATGAAGTAAATATTGAATGAGATAGAAAATTTAATAAATTTGAAATAAAAGAAATCCCTAATTTTATGTTAAGTGGAGGTACTTTTAGGAGAATCTTAGATGATTATGCATTTAGGATTCTCATAATTGTAACATGTTCCCTATTTTCACGTTTTAAAATGAGATATTTAAGGAATAGAAAAATGATAGTATATAATAAGAAGTTGTATAAATTGTATATACTGTAATTATTTTAAGATAGTTGTAACTTTTACAAATAACTCTTCAAAACGTTGTATTTCGGGTAAATTTATAAGGCCTCATTATTCGTTGGATAATGTATTAGGGCCCAAATATATGTGGGCTTTTGTAGTATGGCCCATTCTCGTGTCTAGAACGGGTGATTGACTGGAATGACCTCCTAAGGGGTTGATCGTGCTATTTGTACATCATGTTCTTTTACAATTTTAAATTTAAGAAAATGACTTTTTAGATCTCTTATGTATAAAAGTCAGATCTCTTACATGTAAAAGTGAATCTTCCATGTATAAAGAAAGAGGTAGGGTCATAAAATTAAAAACAAGTTTGTAAAAAGCCACAAAACTAATACCCGTGGGTTGACCTTAGTCGAACGTCCTAAAATTGACGATATTAAAAAAATGCTCGTGGATCCGCATACTGTTATTGTTCTTCACGATTTTTTTTTTCTACCGGATTGGTAGAGTTTATGCAATATTTACTCTACCTACATGTTAAGTTATTCATCAAAGTCCGATTGGCATGATTTTGTTCTTCAGAATTTTTCTACCAGATTGGTAGAGTTTATCCAATATTTACTCTACCTATCTGTTAAGTTATTCTTCGAAGTCTACCCAATTGACATAATTTTTGCTGTCAAAACTAAGCAAGCATCATGGCTAATTCAAAAGATTTTAGGTGCTGCCAGGTACCTAACTGAAGCAAATATTAGAGTGGAAGAGGTGATGAATGCAGATGTTTACTCCATCAGAGACATGTACAACAAACTTAGAGGAGAATTTCCAAAGGTTGCATGGAGGAAATTGTTGTGTAATAATGATAGCTGCCCTAAATGAATCTTTATTGTATACATAGCCATACAAAGCAAACTATACACCAGGGATAGGCTTATCAAATGGGGTACGTTAATAGACCCAATTTGTTCCCTGTGTGAAG